TCATATTCAAGTATCAAGTCCTATCAAGTATACTGCTGTAATACTCCCCGTCCAAATGAATCCTTCCTCACATACTTCCTGGCCCCCAAGAACTCCAGAGTTCACAACCTCATTACCTCTTACCAAGGAATGGTCTACTTAATCTGTTCATTTGTAAAGTTTCCCTCCACAGGAACAGAATTTAAGAGTTAGAAGGGACTGGTGAGAATCTATTCCAACCCATACCTGAACAGAATAACTTCCAACAATATCTCCCAGTGATCATGAAGCCTTTGTGCAGTGAACTCTAGTGAAGAACCTACTCAGCAATTCCAGTATGGGATAGCTCTAATTGCTAAGAAGTTTTTTCTCATATCAAACTTGAATCTGTCTCTTTGTAACTTCTATTGACCATTCCTAGTTCTCTTTTCTGAGGGGTAAGAACAACAAGTCTAACCCTTCTTACAACGGATAGTTCTTCAAAAGCTTGAAACTGGGCAGCTAGGTGGTTCAGTGGATAGAGCTCCAACCTTGGAGTCAAGAGGACCTGAGTTCAAATCTGGCCTCAGACACTTGACACTTGCTAGCTATGTGACCTTGGGCAAGTCACTTAACGCTGAGTGCCTAACCCTCCCCCCCCAAAAAAAGCTTGAAACTAATTAGTGTGTGTGTCCCCCTCAGCCTTCTCTTCCCCAGATTAACATCTCCAATTGCTTCACATGAATCTCCAAATGGCATAACATTAAGTCTACTGTCATCCTGGTTGTCTTCTTGTGTATGCTCTCCAACTTAATAGTATCCTTCTGAAGTATGCCACTCACAAGTGGACATTATACTCCAGATATGCTTTGACCAGGGCAGAGTACAGTACTTGATTTAGGAAAGTATTATCTCCCTTATGTTGGACACTGTGCCTCTTAGCCAAAGCCTAAACTAACTTTTTCTGGCTGTCACATGACACTACTGAGTTTACAGTCAATTAAAACCCCAGAACACTTTCAGATGAAATGCTATCTGGCCACACCCATTCCATACTATACTTGTGAAGATGATTTTTTAAACCCAAGTGCAAGACTCTACATTCCTTATAATTACACTCGTCCCTATTGAATTTTGTCATTTTATAATTATGCTAACATTTTTTTTGTTGTTGTTCTACTCTACCCTTTCAAGATCTTTTTGAGTTTCTATTGGCCTCACCTAGCTTTGTGTCAACTGCAAATGTGAGCACAGATCCCTGGGGCACTACACCAGATACCCACTAAGTTGACAATGGACCATTAACAAATATCTTTTTCCCTGGGTCTGGTAACTTAACCAGCTTCAAACACACCTAAATATATTTACATCTAGCTCACATTTATCTTGTCTGCAAGAATAGCATGTGACTGTCAGATGCTTTGTCAACATCTAGGTAAACTATATTCAATATTCTCCTAATCTACAAATCTAGTCAAAATCTACAAATCCTGTTCAAAAAAAGAAAAAAGAAAAAGAAATGTGCTACCTAGCATGATTTATTAATCCTCTTGTTAAAAATGTCATTTTTTTGTGGCTTGCCTTAACCCACAGAACTCTCCCTTACAACAAAGTAAATAAATCAAACCAAAACAAATCAACACATTGGCCACATCTAACAATGTATGCCTCATTCTACACCAATAGCCTACTGCCCCTCTGCCAAGAGAAAGAAGCCATTTTTCACTAAAAGTTGTTTAAAAGCACAAGAGATTACTGTATTGGTAAGAGATATGAAATCTCTCAATGCTGCTTTCCTTTATATTCTGATGGTCACCGCATATATTATTTTCCTAGTTCTATTAATTTCAATTTGTTTGATTCATTTTTGATGAAGCCACAGCAATTCTTTCTTTTCTAGATGTAAGTAAACCCTCTTTTTAATAATACACTTGAGTGAAATTTAGCTCATTGGCCTATTTTTTGGATTATTCATTCTCTTCACTTTTTTGAAAACTGAGACAATATTCTCCCTTCTTCATAACCTTTTAAAGACAGACAGTGGATCAGCAATCATGCCCACTAATTCTCAGATGCTTTAGACTATAAGCCAATGCAAGACTTATCTGCCTACAAACTTCTTAGCCTGACATTTAATGACCTTTTCAATTTGCTTCTAACCTACCCTTCTCCAGGCTTATCTCATATTACTTTCACTTGTTCTACACAGCCATTCCTGAACCCTAGCCCACACTTTCCCAGATCTATGACACTGTTCAGGTTTTTCCCCATCACTAAAATGTCATCCCCTCTATTTCTACCTATTGAGGCTACTTCACATTCAAGGCTCAGCCAAAATGCTAACTTCTCTATATTCTCCCACTCAATCAGGGAGAGGTGATCTTTCAATCTTTTAAAGTCTCACAGTTTTATGCATTCTTGCTATTACTGTTATTATATTTACCTAAAGATGAAATTTAGTTCTCCCAAAAGATTGCAGATTTCTTAAGGGAAAAGTTGTCTTTTCATCTTTATAACTCACTAAATAAAGTGCCTAAAACAGCTCTTGTGTATAGAAGACAGATAAATTAACTGAATAGAATCATCAAATATATCAAAAGTAAGGGAACTTCCTGGTGATGTTTTCCCTCATTGTATGCCTGAACCACATACAATCACAAGGTAATATATCTCCCAAGTTTTGGCAATCAATATTATCCAATGGTGGGATCCTCAAGAAGTGGTTCTTGTGTCTGAGGTCATCTCAGTTAAGTGGCCAGGTAGCTTTTAAAGTAATGAGTCTAAAAAATTATATGGCTGTATACTGTTTAACCATTTATCATTTCCTCAGAGCTTTCTGCCACCATGATGGGATGAGTAGGTAAGAAAATATTAAAAACAAAAACAAAAACAAAAACAAAAACAACAGGTGCAGCTAGGTGGCACAGTAGATAGAGCACAAGCCCTGAAGTCAGGAGGACCCAAGTTTAAATCTAGCCTCAGACCAAACACCTGACACTCACTAGCTGTGCGACCCTGGGCAAGTCACTTAACCTCAATTGCCTTGAAAAAAACCCAAAAAAACCTCAATCCTAGAATAAGGAGAAAAAAACGCAGGGTTTTTTGTCTCATTCATTAAGAGATGGAATCACAAGTCTTTTCTATACAAGTAATTAAGCTGAATAGGAATAAATGCTAAAACTAAAGCTACAAAGGAGAAACTGAAGCACTTACTCCATTACACTGAAATCACAGGTTATTCTGTATAACATTCTTGCTGAGTCTCACTAAAGCCCAAAACAATTGTGATAACCTTCAAAATCCAACTCACTCTCTATTTCATGAAGGCAATTTTTTTCCTTTGCTAATTAAAACTCTACTGCTACTAATGCATTTTCATTAAGTACTTGCAATAAAACTAAATTGTGTCAATAAGAGACAGGAATAATATCAGACTTTAAATTCACAAATAATGTTAAATCTTCCCCAGGAAATGCCACTACAGCTAACAATTAGAAAATTGCTAAGCTTTGAATCTAATTTCCTTTTTATTTCCTTTGCCCATTATTTGGCACAGATGTGAATGAACAATGAAAAGTTTAAGAGTCTAACATCAAGAAGGAAAAAGAATAGCTAATATGATTAATCTGCCTCCATACTAACCAAGGAGAGGCTGATAAAATACTTATAAAACTTCAAACATGATGTCCATGTTACTGTGAGACGTAGCACCCTAAATATTTTAATAAAACACAAAAATTATTTGTGCAATGGAAAAAGCACTGAATTTGAACTCAAAGAATGTGAGGTCAAATCCCAGCTTGGCCACTTATTACTCTAAGACCTTAGGCAAGCAAGTCACTTGGCTTCTCTGAAACTCAGTTTCCTCATCTGTAAAATGAAGGGCTCAGACTAGATGAAAATCTTAAGTCCCTTCTAGCTCCACACCCATAATCCTATATAATATATTTTTAAAAAGTTTTAACCAAGTTAGTTTACTTAGTTTTTTGTATTCCAAGTTTCATTCATTCCAAGCATTCATGGAATGAGGTATAGATGCCTTTTCCCACTACTTATCTAAAATATACATGGGAAAGAACCCTTTCTGTAGTGAAGAAATGCTAGTTATCAGTGGTCAAAAACACAAGACATGATTATATTATGTCACTTTATCCAAATCTTCCTTAACCCAGTTTCCCCATTCCTACCTAAACTCTTCTTCCCTTTCTACTTACCCCTTTTGTTTTTAAGAAGGTGCTTTAGCACATCCCTCTCTTTCAATGACAACAAAGGTAAGAAAAAAATCAAGTAGAGAACAGAGATAAAGAATAGATAAAAGGGTTAAAGTTTTAAAAAATTTGGGGACAATTTAGATACGTAGAGTTAACCTCTTTCAAGCTAGGTTTTGAATCTGTCAAACTAGGATAAAACTCTGCTGCCTTTCCTAAGACAACACAAGTAAACCACAGACAAAATACAGTTTCAGCTATATAATAAGACTCACAGACCAACATATATGTTATGCTGAATTAAAAAACCTCAACAGAACTCAACATAGCAAAGAACCCAGACCAAACAAGCCCAAAGCCACACCATTTGCAGTGTTAAACAATGACACTGCATAAATATTTACAGATGCGTAAGCATTTATATAATGTGTAAAGCATACAAATAAAATAGTAATTATAAAGGTACAGTAATATTTGTACATGGTCAATAAAACAATGAATTAGCTAATGAAAACTTGGAATCAATTAACTAAGTCAGTTGTCACAGATCATTTCTTTAGATGTGACAACCATTTTACAGATTTTAAAAGAACATATTTTCCCCCTAATGTTAAGATGACTGGACAATACAGAGAATGGCAAAAATATTTTTTCCCATTATGTAAGCACACAAAATAATAATAAAAAAAAAACAACTGAGCCTGCCACCATTCCCATTTAAGCACTCCACTGAACCATGCATAACAGCCTTTTACTTTTAAGACCAAAACAATGAATGGAAATTCAGGGTTAATAAAATTAATTTCAAACAAGCAAGCTAAGTGATTGACTTACAGGATCAGCTGGTGCAATGTTAGAATCAAATTGGGTCAGAGTTTGTGAGCTTGAAGAGCGTTCACTAAATGTCTCCCACTGCTGAACAGACAGAGGAGAGACAAGTCAGCATGATGAGAAAGATGGAGTAAAAGATCACTGGAGAAGATTTAGCAAAGTAATTCAGGAGTTGCACTGCAAGTTATGTGTCATAGGCCTTACTTAGAATAAAATACCATAACATTATTTATTTTTCATAAATATCTTCCATGTTCCAATTACTTTCCTATCCTAAATGTGTATACCACTTTAATATGACTAGAAGTATATGCCCTATTTTGAACTCTATGGAAATGTTTGAAAGATTTGTAAATTTGAAGGTCAGAAAAGTACAACAAAATATTTGGAAAGTAAAATGTTAAGTGGTGACCTATTTTGAATGATTCTCAGCAGTTTAAGAAAATTCCTTTAAGAGAATTATCTAGAAGAAGGGTGGTGAACCTTTGGCCTTGAGGCCATATGTGGCCTTCTAGATTCTTAAATGTCGCCTTTTGACTGAATCCAAATTTTATAGAACAAATCCTTTTAATAAAAGGCCACTTAAGGATCTAGAAGGCCACATGTAGCCTCAAGGTTGCAGGTTCTCCACCCCTGGTTTCTAGAAAAATGATTAAAAGTCTGTTCAAAATATTGCTGATGCAGAATCTAATGAAGCTATGAGTATTAAGTTCTTAGCTGAAAATATTATTCTAGTGTGACTTAGCAGTGCAACCTCTGAAAGATGATTCTATTATGTATGTGCACATATTTAATACAAATATATAGATATTTAATTATATATAATTGAGACATAATGCAAAGAATTCTTGAATACATATTTGAGTTTTTGTCAATTTGTAGCAAGTCAACCCCTGCGATCAGCACTACAGAACATGGCCATGCCAGATAACAAGACAACTGCCAATCAGGCATCCCCATTCATGCTAGAAAAATTAGAATGCGGCCACAATGAGAGCAAATCAAGCATCATAGTATGTATTGTAAATGGTATCTTTAAATACAAAAATATTACTCTTCTAAAAGAGGTACATTGAAAAAAATTAAACCTCTACATAAATCAGTGGAATGATGGGTCAACTTTATTATGTATGGCAGGTAAAATTTTGAAATGAAAAAGCTATTTTGGAGAAGAGTTTAGTGAAAATATAAATAAGAATCTTTCTATGGGAAAATGATAATACTATCAATATAAAATTTAGTTTTTATAGCAACTTCTAATACATATAACTATGTAAACTCAAAACATTTTTTTGGAGGGAAGGGGTAGGAGGACAACTAACCTTTGAAATAGGGGAGAGGGAGAAACCACATAAATGCTGTATATACACACTAATGTCAACATACATATACATCTACCCCATCATCCCAAATCTCCATCTGTACTTCAGAATGGAATTTTTGTCACTCTAACATCTCCCTACAACTTCATAAGTACTTAATTTGAGATAATATGAAAAAATAAAATGTTATATAAACATATTTCTAGTCTATTCCAAATCTAAAGTTCTATACTCTAGGTTAAATTGTTGGAAATTACCTGGGGAAAGAAAAGGACAAGGTAGGATTCCCCTTTGCTAAAGAACCACTTTTATCTCATATAGAAGTAGAATTTTTATCAGGAAATCATTGTACTTTTTCTTTTTACTATTACTGATAACTGTTAGGGATAATAAATTTAGTCACAGATACTTACTGTATGGAAACAGATGAAATGAACATTAAACTACATTTAATTTAGGAGATTTTTATCCAAAGGTCAAATGAATAGCTTAAGTTTTAGACTGTAAGCTACTTGAGAGCAGGGACTTTTCATTTTTGTCTTTGTATCACCAGCACTTAGCACAGTGCTTGGTTACACAGCAGGTACTTAACAAAAGTTTGTTGACTGATTAAACTCCAAAGTCAGACTATGGCTTACTTTTTCTTCGAATCACTATATGTTTTTATGTAAAAAATTTCGATCTTTATACACTATGGTTGATCAATAAAAGTCCTTGGGGCAGGTAGGTTGCACAATGGATAGAGCACCCGTTCTGGAGTCAGGAGGACATGAGTTCAAATGTGGTATCAGACCAGATACTTGACGCTTACTAGCTGTGTGACCCTGGGCAAGTCACTTAATCCCAAATGCCTTAATATTAAAGATCCTTACATAGCATAACTGTTTCTTAAGTCACCCAACAGGAATGTAACTTGACCACATGAGGGAGTACAACAAATTCTAGCCTTGAAGATGTAGGTTTGAGTCCTGGCTTCACTGTTTTTTATGACTTTGGCTAAATTACTTAAATGCCGCCGTCTCAGTTTTCACATCTAAAATTAGGATAATAATGAATAACTCCTAATTGTATAGGTTATTTGTGAGGATAAGGCAAAAAGATATATATAAAAAAATTTCTGTAACTCTAAAGCATTATGTGACTATGAATTGCTATTATTAAAAAGAAGGACAAGTAGGTATAAAGATGAAAGATCCAATAATAGGGGGTTTTTTGTTTTTTTTAATACACAAATAAATTCAGGAACTTGGCTCATAGAATCTTTTTTTTTTTATTAAGGCAATTGGGATTAAGTGACTTGCCCAGGGTCACACAGCTAGTGCCAAGTGTTTGGTCTGAGGCTGGATTTGAACTCAGGTCCTCCTGACTTCAGGGCCGGTGCTCTATCCACTGTACCACCTAGCTGCCCCCCAATAATAGGCTTTTAATGAATAAAGTATTTAGTCTTATTAAGGGACATTAAGGACCACAGCTTTCTTTAGAACTACAAGATCTCATAGGTCATCTAGTCCAACTCCCTTCCTTTCACAGATAAGAAAATTGAGGCTAATTTAAGTGACCTGCTCATGGTTAAAAAGGTAAAAACATAAGAGATGGAACTGACTCCAGTCAGTGCTCTTTTCATATTGCCACCAGCAGCTGGTCTTAATAATGAAGCAACGTAAATATGGCACAGCAGGAAGATCATTAGGTTTGGAGTCAGGAAATCTAGATTCAGATGTTCATTAGTATGATCATGGATGAGTCAATCTCTCAGGGCTTTATTTTCTTCCTCTGTAAAGAGGAATGATAATATTTGTGCTACCTAGCCCCCAGATCTGTTTTGAGTAAACTATTTTTATAAATCTTAACTGTCACATATTCCTTTTAAAGAATTCAATATGAGGGGCAGTGAGGTGCCGCAGTGGATAGAGCACCGGCTCTGGATTCAGGAGAACCTAAGTTCAAATCCGGCCTCAGACACATAATACTTCCTAGCTGTGTGACCATGGGCAAGTCACTTAACCCCACTGCCTTATGACTAAAAAAAAAAAAATCAATATGAAAAATACTGATTTTTTCCCCATTAAACAAAAGCTGCAAAAACCATAGCTTTAACACTTTTTTCCCCTCACTTTTTAAAAATCCCTAGTAAACCTTTAAGTTCCTTCAAAATTTAATCTTCATGTTCTCTTTAGGCAATCACTTATGGCTTTCCATCCATATTTCACATTTATGAATTTAATGCCATGAAAATTAATGGTGTGACACTATCATTCTTCATTCAGTTATCATGATATGTAGGTCATTACAGCAGCCATTATTTATTACAAAAAAAACTGTGGAAATTTGAGACGCTATTTTTTTCTTTCCACATGGCCAAAAATACCTGAAATATATCTGAAGTAAGCATTTGTGCTTTATGCCATGATTCTCATAGAAAAGGGAATCAATTAACTATGCCTTTCAAATGAGAATTAATATAAAAACTACATTCTACACTACAACACTAAGCTACATTTGTTTGTCTAAGAATCAATTTTAAATGTGGTTCAAAATAAAAAGAACACTGAAATAACATTAAAAAGTTAAGTTATTGAGGAAAAGTTATAACAGGTTAAATTATTAGAAAATGGCACATTTATAATAGAAATTGCTTTGGACTCTTAACAGAGCTCTTAACATATATAGCTTTTGTTACTTATGTATATATTCTGTAGTTTCTCCAATTCCTAGGGAAAAAAACTTGCTAATTTTTCTAATGGTTAACTACCACTGCTGATAGCAAAAGAAAGAAAAACAGTCCTTCTCTTTCTTAAACATGTGCTTCATATGGGTGAGTTTTAAAAGACTCTAATGTGAATTTCTGAAATAACAGAAACTTGGGGAATGTTTTCAACTAAATTTTAAACCTATTAAACTTAAAATTTATAAATTTTAAACAATACTAAAATCTTGTGCTGTATTTAACCATAAGCATATTATTCTAATATATGCTTTAAAAGACTGGAATGACACTACAAAAACCTTAAATTAGTTTTATATCTGACAGCTTTTATTACCTAAAAAAAATTTTAAGTCATCTCATTTGTGTATCTCTAGCTCATAATTAAAAACCAGATCCAATATGTACTTGTGTACACTAGAATACAAACTCAGATATAAACACAGACAAAAGTGATTAAGAAAAATCTCTGGATGTTTATTACTGAAAATGAAGATCGGATCTGGAAAGCTATATGACTTTTCCGGTACTGGTTATGATCCAAAGGGGAAAATTATATACAAGAGGTAGTGTGGCATAAGGGACACATGTGGTAGTCTTGAGACTTTGGAAAACTTGGCTCAAATTCTACCTTGGACACAAACATATGACCACAGACAAGCTAGCTAACACATTTGAGTTTCAACATCCTCATCTGTAAAATGGAGATAACAATATCTAGAGTACCTACGTCACAGGGATGCAATGAGGCTCAAGTGAGATCACATATGAAAAGCATTTTTACAAACTTTAAAGTGTTACAGATAATGACAGTTATTATATTAATTTAAAGTACCGAGAAGCATAGTGAAGAAGGCTATAGCCTTGGAGTCAAGAAGACCTGGGTTAAAGTACTGTCTCTGACACATACAACTGTATGAAAGGCAAGTCAATTATCCTATCAGTGTCCTAGGCAACTATTTAAGACCATAAATTGTATATACATTTCCAGTCTGCATTGGAGGAAATTTTCACTCAGGAAATCACAGCTTGGGACTACCCTACCTTCTGTTATTCTCCTACTCACCCCTACCCCCTAACCTGGAGTATAAGAGGATTCAGTAAGAATCAAAATCTCACTGCTTCAAAAAGAAAACTTTCTAAAATTTTACACATACACCAATGATTTGTTCAATACTACATATTGGAGAATGGTTTCTTAAAATATATATTAAATTGAATTATAGAAATGATGCCTTCACTGAGTAGGATACTGGCATGACCTCTAAATTTCCTTTTGATTTTAAGATTCTATGATAGTGTCAAAAATAACTTGCTTAACACTTCTAAGAATGAAGACAAGTACCTAACAACTCAACATTTGAAGTACTCATTTTTTCCATTTAAATTTTTGCTTAATTTTATAAGTCTTCTACAAATGAATTAATAAAGAAATATTCCTACATCAAAGAAAAGGGAAGCTTTGCTAACCTCACTGCTCTGATTCAGTTCTGGCCAGGTCTGGTTTAATGATGGCATTGATGGCGACTTGCTTGGAGGTGCTTCTGCAGGAGACCCTGAGTAACCTACCTCACCTGACTGATCTCCGACATCTGAAATTTAAAGAAACAAAAAAAACTACAAATCAGATACCACATTTGGAAATGTTGATTTTTTAAAAATGCCCACAAACGCCTTTATATAACGATCATGTTATATGGTTTGTATTCCTCATCTCATCTTCCTTGGATAGACATTTAAAATTTTTTTGAACTGCTAGATAATATCGCTACTTGGTATTTAAGGAACTACAAGGAGAAAACTCCTGAATTAATAGCAAAATGACCATTTTCCAAGAAAACAACAGTATATTAATAATAATGTAATGCTATTTATCCACTATCAGTAAGGTACATGCCTCAAGTTATTTTTCCTAGAAATGGTGATGAATTTCCATTGACTCATCCACATTCTCTTTCTCTCACTGTTGTTACCAATAGTGTAGCTGTGCAAGACAACCAATGATGTAAAGGGTTAAAGTCTGTAGCCATGAAATGGAATAAAGTTAACTAATATGAATGGGAATTCAACTTATTACATGGTTCTTAATCAACTAAGCTGGTAAGGCACAGATCCACGCAGGTATTTTATATTGTTTTCTCAAGTGTTTTATGAGGTATCAGCCTTCTTTAACCATAATAAATTCCCTCACTGCTATGAATAATGCTTAGTTTAAAATAATCAGTAATTTTCATCACAATCCAATAATGGAGGGTAGTCCCATGAGAAATTTTTTTATGCTTAGGTTAAACTTCACTTATAAATAATAAATAAATAAATAAACAAACATTGTTTATAATTCCCTTTAACCAACATAAATAATTTGCTATTCCTATGTTTTATATATCCTTGAATGCAATCAACAGTTAAAATGAAAATATAATTGCTAAATTAATAAAACGTGCATGAATAGTGGTTAGGACTTGGGTCATGAATCTGGAAATTTAGGCTTTATTCCCAGATCTGTCACTATACTGCCATGTGATCTTGGGCAAGTCATGTAAACTGTAGTACCTCAGTTTCTCCATCAAAAAAAAGAATATTTGTCAAAATTTTATACTGTGTTATAAATGGTTAAAGTCTGCTGTATAAGACAAAAGCAGCATTGGACACTTTTTTTGACTTTTCAAAGTACATGAAAGTAGATTCTTCAAGTAATAGTTATTTTTGATGCCTTTTTAAAAATTCCTTTACTTACTGGCTCTTCCTATTAGTTGTGTTTTAAACATGTGATGAGAGCACACAGTCCTTCTTGGTATGATATACACAGATATAGTGATTCAAAGTATCACAAGGCTCCACCTCACCACCCCAATTTTTGCAGTCATACGACTGCAAGTTCTATTTTCAATCCATCACTGTTTTTCTTTTTATCTCTCAAATATTAGGACCATATTTTTTCCTTTTCAGTCCTTTTAGTTCTCAATAAAGGACCTGACTTAGTACTGCAAATGTCAGGGTAAGGAAAGAAACAACAAAACAGAGGCAGGCCTTAGGCACTGTTCTATAAGATACCTTGACCTATAACACTTCTATGATACTTTGCAAAACTAACATACTGTGATAAAATAACAGCATTAATTTACTTTTGGGATATTCTGGAGTTGGAACGGAAAGAAATTCAGGTCTATTTTGATGTTTTTCTTTTGGGGGGGGTTTGCAATGAATAAAAGTACAAAGGGAGAAGGAGGCAGGGGAAGTGAGCAGCAGTACCCACACCCTGACAGATTACAAAATGACTCTCTAAGTAGGAAGTGACAATTGAAAAAGGTCTTAAGGAGACTAAAATCAGGTTGACATTTCAGGGAAGGGAAATGAATAGAATCAGAATGATACTTAAAAAGGTGGTATATTTTGAAGGTGCCAATTTAAAGCAAAAATATATCATATACATCTAGCTATAGAGACTATTTCAGCTCCACCTAGATTCAAGTATACACAGAAAGATCAGAACTGTTATAGAAATAAGTTAAGGAATTTGTCTACTATAAGGCAGGCCCAAGGCTTTCACTCAATCTAGAATCAAGACTACAAGGTTCAAGCTTACTGTTATCCTTTAGCTTTGGGACATTAGGTTACTCTGGGCAATCTAGAGCTACTCTGTATTATAGCAGACTCTGGAACTCAACTCTTACAGCTGTAGGGGGTAGCACAGTATGGACCTAGTCTCTACATTAACTTAAATGTACATACCTACTAGCTATGCAATACAATTTGTTTTCCCACACCCCCCAGACCATCTAAATAATAACTCCTAGCAGAAATCAGCTATGTACCTCTAACAAAAGCCACATGATGATTTTTTTTAGTTTGTCTCCTACTTCTTGCATAAAGCTATGAATGGTAAGAGAAAAGCAGTAAAGTACATTTGGAAAAGAAGCTCATTCCTACTACAAGCAGGCAGTCACTCATTGGAGAAAGAGCATCAGGTTTGACAACAATGTACACCTTCATCAACTTTGTTTCATATATATGATCCAGCAAATTACAGCTTCACATCCACATATAAAAGTTAGTCCTTAAGACTTTATCCTTGTGGAGGCAGGGGTGTAAATTTACTCTTACCTGATGCAGTGTTCCAACCTAGCCTCCTGCTGGAACACTGTGTCAACCCTGCCTCCCTCCTGCTGGTTCTGTTCTGCCCCTGACATCATCACAGAGCATCAGGGCTGAAAAAGAAGAGTATGATCCTAAATTATTTTTTAAGCCAACCCCAAGAGTGTTTTTACTCAAAAGGCACTTTCCATGTATAAAAGAGTGCGCTGGAAGAGATAACACACTATAACTACACTGGCATGCTGTTTACTTATATTTCAGATGTAACGATTGCATTAAATGATGAGACCACTCACTCACTCAAGTAAGATTACAGGATCAAAAGGCTCCTGACACAAGTATTGCCACTAGTTTCTATTTGGAAGGATCCTAAAATATTCTAGAAGTCTGCCTCTCATCCCTCTTCTCCTGACTATGCTAAGTTATATAGCCCTTATCCTAAAGCTATCTAACCCTATTTGACTGATGATGATGGTTCATCTTATTCACTAACTGACAAACACACCATTTGAACCTGGCTTCCCGACATTATACTTAATAGTTTATTTAAATTTTACTATGAAACAGACTGCACTTTTTTAATCCACTAAAACTACTATGCTTTCAAAGAGTATGGTTTGCTGTCCTTAAGTTATTCGCCCTTTTCTTTTATTAGGTTACCAAGTTTAAAATAAACACTAAGTGCCTCAAGGTAAAGTTCATTTTATCTTCTAATTACCTGAAATACCACTTTTAGAAGGAAAAAAATTCAACATAAAAAACTAACTAGCTCTGATCTTAAATCTTAGAGAATAACTCAAGTATTGTGATTGTTTTTTCCTATCCAAAGTAATCAGAATATTAAGTGATGTTTAAGTTTCCATTTTAAGTTAGTTACTAGGAAACTAAATAGTCAAATCCATGTCCAATTGTAGTATTCATATCAAAAAGCTGGTAGCATTTTCTACTTATGTTCCTTTTAGAAGGTCTGTATTCTTTTATTTTTAACTATCCTACTATTTTGTTCTCTGTTTAATTCTGAGACCAACAAACTCTTATAGAAGCAGATACAAGCTCTTTCCATGCCTGGAGAAAGCCTACGTTATTGGTCTACAAAGGTAAAACTGAAATCATCTGATGGCAGCTGCCAAAATGAATAACAGTATCTAACAGGAAAACAGCAATATCTAAAATGCTAAACTACAAACTAAAATCAAGAGCATGATGGCAGCAAGAGTAAGTACAAATAAAACTGCCAACTTGCAAATGACGGTCTATCACAGAGAATGTTTGAGTGGTTCATGAAATCAGACTAAATATGAAAAGAATTAAGCAATGATTTTTATATGATTATAACACTTAAATGGATGTTATCTTTCCCTCCTTTTAACTTCATGGCACTTTGTAATGAATATGTTAGTAAATACGTTTTAGTAAAGAATATATATATATTAGTAAATATATATATATAAAAAATATATATTAGTAAAGAATATATTTGATTTCCTCAATCAGATTGCAAACTCCCTGAAGGTAGGCATTGTACTTTGCTCATCTTTATCATCTTCTATACCATCTAGCACAATGCATTACACATAAAATATTTCTCAAACTGAATTTAATAATGGATTCTAATGTTATAATAATGTTATGTATGATATAATTTCTATATTCAAAGGATAACATTTAAAATCATAATCACTTCCATGGACCTATGACAGCATGATAAAAGTAAATTCTCTTATGCTAAAGGTGGTCTATTTTTAATAGTACTCAAAAATGTCTTTGTAAGGCCAGAATAGAAACTTCAAATATATTTTTGAAATAAGAGGAAGAAACAAGGTAGACCTGAATCTGTGCTACAAAAATATTATTGCACTAAATGAGGAATCTAAGTACAAATCTATTATGCTTGGAAAAAAATTTAAGAGTCTCTCATAATTTTCAATTTGGTTAATCAATAGTGTAGTTAAGCCATCAATAAATCTGAATTTGCCATTTCCTGAACAAGTCTAACAAGTCTAAATTTAAAGAAAGGTAAATGTGCCAAGTAATGTAATTATTAGTCAAAGAAGTCCTAACAGTCAGCACACAAATCAAGTTTAAAATAGAACAGGTAAGAATTATCTTAAAAACAAAACAAAATCTAGAAGCCAAATAACAGACTGATGAATTTGGATGCCCCCAAGAAAGGACAGCACACTAGAAATCTTTACAAAATTACATTCAAGAGATTAAGAGTATTTTGAGCAGTTATCAATCTGCCCCACCATTCAAAGGGCTGAAGTTATATAGCATATCTATCATCCCCTAAATTATTATCCCTACTCTACAATTTACATACAATTTTGTCATCCTGACCTTATACTACCAAGTGATGTACTAAATAGGATTTACTATATAAAACCTTTAGATTTAAATTAACTGGTCCTTATAACTAGCTAATCTACAGTCAGACGATATACTCTATGAGTCATACCAACAAACAATACTCCTTAACATGTCTTCAGTAAAGCAAGAACCACCAAAACTTTTTTGGAAGTGAATGAAATATGTAAACAAAGAAACACTCTCTCTCTCTCTCTCTCTCTCTCTCTCTCTCTCTCTCACACACACACACACACACACACACTAAAGAAATTTTATATATACCTACATTAAAGTTATAATGCAATGCCTCATTATCATGGGGAGATAATCCTAAGTCCTTGAAGACCATGCCCAAGACTAAGCACCAGCCCCAGATGGTCCTACTATGCTGGAAAAGTTTAAAATATGGGATAGACTGTGTCTGACATTCAAGAACCACCCTAAATTCAGAGAGTCTTGTTATTATGTACTAGCCAGTAAATGACAAATGTTTTTGTCCATAACCAACTTATGAAAACCTTCTGTTAAGATATAGGAAGGCTATGAGCTGTTAGTCAAGGAAATACCCACACCAATGAAATCATGGATCTTTTTAGGTGCTACCCTAATTATTCTTACATATCAAATGGTAAGTTTCACAAGGATTTCAGAACATAAAATCAAGACCTATTAGAAAAATGGTCTCAGACCCATATAACAGATGGAGAAACAGAGAGATGTTTAAAACTTGCCCAAGGTCACACGAATAATTTGTAAAGCTAGAAGAAATTTAGTATTATTGACTCTAAGGATTTTGCTCTTATCAACAAACAAATTTCATGCCTTTTTCTACTCATAAAATAGGCAGTAGTAAAGCCAATCAATTCTATTTTCTGGGCTTCTGGAAGAACCCTTTCACTTATATGTGTACTGTCTTGCTGAGAGCTTATTTCAGGGTTTTAATTTTATTTTGAAGAATACTTCATTCTTAGGGGGACACCAAACACCATTATTTGGTCTTAATCAGTCTAGAAGAAATTTAATATTCTATAATTTCTAAAGATATGAATCTAAGGAAATCATATTTATAAGTTCATTTATGCTTTATGAAGAAAACTGTTAGGAGATATATATATCACACTAAGGTTTTCACAGTGCAATAATTAGTCTATACCCTTCTCCCTTTTTGGCTTACCTTTGAAACAAAAACCAAACTCATCATTTAACCAAACTCTAAATTTCCAGATTTCTTAGCCACTTAGAGAAAAATTGTCCATGACACTTTATATTTCAAAAAATTTCTTCAAATAAATCATTAAGCTTGAATTGGCCATAAAGTTTTTAAAAGTTTATCAAAAGGTAAATAGCAGTTTTCTTAAGTTATCCATCTTACCTGCTGAATCTTCCAAATCAATCAGTTTGGGCATTAAGCTTTCAGGTAGTTTTTCAGGTAAGTCATAACCATTCTTCCTGGCAACTACCAGATGAAAAGCAGCACAAAATTCATCCAGTGTCAAAGCGCCATCTTTATCAAAGTCTGAGAGTTCCCTAAAAGATAAACTTTACTATAAATGATGATCAAATTCTTTCCCAATCATTTTATTTCTCAATAAGGAACCAATTTCCTAGAGAAAATTTAATTACAAAAAATAATCAGCAATTAATGCTCTAAAAATAAACATATCCTCTTCCAACCAATGTTTATAGTTTGAAATTCAATACACGTAAACTCTGATTCATTTATATGTATTGGTTTTTATCTTCAAAATTTGGAATTTAAAGTTGTACCATTACAATTTTACAATAATGTTCTACAACAAATTTCTCAGGAAAAATATAACTAATATTTCAAGAAAATGTTTTGTCATTTAATCTGATACACTCTACTTTGATTTTCATCTTCTAAGTTGTTTTCTTTTTCCCAAAAGAATTTGTTCTGAACAAGTCATCCAATGATTGTGTTTCAAACCACATAGCAGTCTATGTCTGTGATGGAAGGTGAGTATATTGTGCTTAAGCCCATGTCTTAGTATGGGGCTTATCACAAACTTGTTCAGAGACAAAAGTGATCAACTCAACCATGCATGAGCAAACTGGCTTTAATTTCATGCATTTCAACAGCATCATGTTGGCAATATGAAATAACTGGTACAGCTTTATGGATTCTAGACTTCTAGAAAATATGAATAGATGCTTTTGCACTATCTTTTATGGCTTTTATTCTAGAGAGAAAGATATCAATGGCTGTGATGAGTTTTAATATTGGGCATCATTGGATTTTTTAAGGCAGACAGTCTACTATGATTTTTTTTGTTTTCCGAAAGACTACCAGCTGGAAATTCTTCTGAAACAAAATATATGGCCCAACTATGACACACCACACTTACCAAATATGAGAAAGTTCAAGAATAGGTAGTTTTGATTTTGTAAAAAACTCTTTAGCTGCAGATCCTGAAATATTAAAACAGTGATGTTTAATGTTGATTGTAAATTTACACATCTAAGGACAAAAATCTGAGGTATAAGAAGACATTTTATTATTGGGAGAGTTCTCTTTATAGCAAAATGTAGAGGGTTTGGTGTTTTGTTTTGTTTTGTTTTTTTGGCCCCAGTGAGTAAAAACCCTTTGTAGATAAACCATACCAAGTTAAGAATTATAAACTGTTTACATATTGTCCAAATTTGACAACTGCAAAGCTTCTGAAATAGTGCCTGAAATTATGAAACTGAGACTAGGGCCTGCCATGTCTGTAATAATTTCTGTTTTTTAGCAACTCACCTGGAATAAATCCGTTTAGATCGGGTTGAATGGTTTTAAACTGATTTACATAATACTGTCTTTGTTCATCTGTTATTTTCCAGGGATCATCATAACTACTGGATTGCCTACGAATTTCATTGGCAGTTGTAGCTGATGCTACAGTTCGTACTGTTGTCTGGTCCTGTAATGAAACATTTTTTCCTCAGTATGTTATCTATCTATATGACCATATGGACCATCATTTCTAGACTACTTGTCCTTGGAAGTAAAATAAACTTTTGTAGACTTTTTTTTAACATCAAAAGCTTCAAACTCATCTGCAAACCACATATTTATGACAATTAGGTTACCAGGAGTTTATTTGCACAATGAAATAAATGGATAGAAATGATGATAATTATGTATGCAACTCAAAGTTATGAGAAATATATGCTAAGAAAGCCAAGCAAAGATATTCCTAGATGTGGGAACCTTTTAAAAATTCTCTTTAAATTTTAGAAAATTTTTATTTTAAATGAAGCCAAAACCTTTAGTGAACATTCCAGTAAAACTAGACTGTTGCAGAAAAGGGTACAGAACAGATTACTGTTCTCTACAAAACTGCGAACTTCTACTTATGAAATCTGCAATAGCAAAGAATGGAAAAAAAATGACTGCAGCAATAACTGAAATGAAGCAAATAAAATGCAATACCAATAAAATGTCACACCTGGACAGAAGCAGGATGCATGGCTAAAAGAGTACTGGTTGGTGGAGTATCTGCAAAACTGACCCAGTTTTCTTGAGGTGGAGGTGGAGAATGACCAGACCACATTGCATCACCAGTTGAAGAACCTAGAAGAAGAGAAATAAATCTATAACAAATAAAAATATGCAAATCACAAGACCTTCCTTTAAATTTGGATGAAAAAATTAGCTTCTTATAATTGTTTTGTTAATTTAAAAAACTCATCCCATCTCCTAAATAGTTTGTTTTTTCATCCAACATTTTCCTTTTCACATATAAATGAGAACTGACATCCTGGAAAGCAAATACTAGTCCCCTCTATCTCCTCAGAATCTCACAAAAACCACAGAATGCCTTTAAATATTTCAATGTAAAAGATTAAATGCAATAAGGGTTCATCCATTTACAAATTTTCATAGCAATTACAACTGATGTATATAGGCATTTAACTTAGTAACCCACAATTCTAAATTGTCTTAGAAGACTGACTTCCTTTTACCCAATCCCTTAAACACCAGTCAACATTATCTCTAAATTACTTTATATCCTAAGAGTACATAAACCACAATATTAACAAAAGGTACCTGTTTGTGCTTCACTAAATGGTGACCAAAAAGGCCCAGGTCCAGGAAGAGGACGTTCATTATTTCCCCCACTGGGATGGCGATTGTGCTTCCTCCAGGAGTGTGGAGAAGTTGGAGGGGACTGTTGGGGAGAAACTACTGGAGAAGTGGATTCCTAAGGAGAGAGGAAAAGGAATTGTAACAAATCATATAAAAATTAACATTTCAGCTTTGTCTTTTCTTTACCTATCTTTTCTTTCTGTTGTCTTATTGTCATAGTTAACATTTCCAGAACTATATGTCAAATAACAAGGACAACACTGGGTATCCTTAAAAATACCCCTGTATAGCCTGATAAAACTTATAGTATATCCTCATATACATGTTTGCTTTTGGTTTTAAATATTTTAGGATATTTTAAAAATACCATTTATGCCTTTACTTTATAGGAGTTTTAGCATCATTTTAATAAGAAATTCAGCAAAGTTGTATGCTACAAAATAAGTTTAAAAAAACAGCATTTCTATGTAATAACCAACAAATTCAAGAGCCAACAATAAAGAAATCACATTCAAAACAACTACAAATTTTAAATATTTAGGAATCAATCTACCAAAAAACATTTAATACTTGTATAGATTCAGTTGCAAACTGCTACTTAAATAAAGATTGTCTTAAATACCTGAAGGAATGTTCACTGCTCATGGCTGGGCCATGCCAATAAAATAAAAATATTTTTAAAAAATAATACTTGAGTTAATTTACAGACGAAAGGGATACTGGTTAGACAACATAATAAGAAAATTCATCCTGAGTAACAAAGGATCCATTATATCAAGAGAAATGATGAAAAAAGGGAGGATTGGAGATAGAATAGCATGTCCAGACTTCACACTATATTATAAAGAAGCAAACATTAAAACCACTTGGTATGGTTAAAAACAGAAAAAATGTACCAATGGAAGCGATTAGACAAGAGAATCAGAAATAATGCAATGCAATCATCCAGTTCTTGATAAGCCTGAGGACATAAATTCCGTCAGAAAGAACTTCCTATTTGTTAAGAACTGTTGGGGAAACTGGAAAGTTTAATCGAAATTAAGGTTAGACCAACAGTATATTTTGCAATAAAGTCACAATGGATATTATCTGAATATTAAAGATCATACCATAAAAAATTAGAAGCAGATCATATACTTTTCACTGCTATGAGCAGATAAATTTCTTAAAACAAACAAAGAATAGAGGCAATCACAAAAGATACAACAGATTATTCTGACTATGTGAAATTGAAAAGTTACTGTACAAACAAAACTGAAGCATCCAAAATAAGGGAAGCAGAAAAAAAAATCTCTGTATCAAATATATTTTATAATGGTTTTATTATCCAAAATACAACTAACAGAAATATATAAGGTTGAAAACCATTCCCCAGTAGATAAGTGGTCAAAAGATATGAGCACATGGTGTTCAAAAGAAGAATTTTCAAACTTAACAACCATGTGAAAGAATGCTCCAATCACTAAATAATAAGATAAATTCATATCAAAACATCCATAAGGTTCATTTCGCATCCTTCAAACTGTCAAATATTATAAAAGGTGACAATAGTCATTGTTAGAGGGGGACACAGAAAGACTGGCACACTAGCGCATTACTGATGGAATTGTGTGTTAGTACCACTCTTAAAAGCAATGTGGAATTAAGCATATAAAGTGATTAAAATGTCTATATACCCTTTGATCCAGAGTTTGCAGAGAATGACAAGCAAGCATTCCCTCCAAGGAGATTACTGACGCAAAGAAAAATTCCAAGTACACTGACAAATTTATGGCAGCATTTTTTTGTGGCAGCAAAGAATTAGAAACAAAGTAGATTGCCATCAACTGGGGCATGGCTAAATAAAGTGAGGCATAAGAATGTAATGGAGTATTACTGGCTATAAGAAATCAAAGCATGGAAAGACATGGACTGAGCAAAATGAAAGCAAGAAGGAAGCAGAGCCAAGAAAACTCTGTGTGCGCGTGTGTGTGTATTTGTGTGTGTGTGTATTATAATAATATAACTGGAAAGAATAGCCATCACCGACAGAGAAAGAGAGAGAGAGAGAGAGAGAGAGAGAGAGACAAGATGCCTCTCTCCACTCCTATGCAGAGGCAGGGAATCATAGCAACTATTTTCAATTTATTGATCATCTTCACTGACTTTTTTTCTCTTCCTCTTTTTCTTATTTAAATTATTTGTTATAATTGACAACTTTCCCTTTCCAGGGAAGAGAAGAAATCTAGCCAATATAAAAATGAAAAATAGTAACAAAGATCTATTTTGAAAAATTAACATTTTAATTATTATAGAACCCACTGGCTCCATTTCTTTGCCATCCATTCTCTTAACCACCTGGAATTTAGTTTTCAATTCATTAAAACTGTTAAAGTTGTCAATATTATTTACTAAACTCAATTACCTTTTCTCAGTTCTCATCTAGCTTGACCTCTGATATATTTTGGAACTGATTTTAAAAAAATTACGATCAAGTATCTACATGAAAGGTGAAAAGTTCCTGGAATCATCATACTGTGCATTATTTTGTCAAAAGAATAAGCATTCACATGATTAACATTTCCACCTTGCATTTAGATGTTTTAGTATTGTACTGATACCACCTTGAACTGAGGCAGGAAGCTAGAAACAGCCTATGGAAAGGAGACTCTTATGTGAATTTCTTTGCTTTCCTAGGAAATGTTAAATTAATTTCAGACTATTTTGGAAAGAGCTATGGCTCTATAATAACTGAGAAATCCATATTTTCCTAACATGAAACACTGGTTTCAGTTATACATATATTAGATATTTTTTCGAGTAGCTTCCCTTTCTGGTAACATATTGGGAGATGAGTGGTGGACTAGGGGAAGATTAATGAGAAGGGGACAATGTCTTACTGAAAAGCTTTAAAATTTAAAATTATGCAAAATGTAAAATCCTTTCAGTATCCTGTAATCCTTTTTTGCTACAATGTAAAAGGGAAGACATAAATGTTCCTTTTTGATTATGGTCAGCAAGTAGGCATGTCAGACTCACTAAAAGATAGCTTGCAAGACTTACACTGGTGTTTTTCAACTTAAATGAACTATGATGTGGAAATATTGAAAAAAACCACCAAAAAACAACACAAAAACAAACAAAAACCACCCAACAAGAACAATCCCACAATCAAAAAATAAAAAATAAACCCTCCCCAAAAGTTATAAAGCAACTTTATAGCAAAAAAAAAAGAAACCCAAAGAATATTAAAATGTACCTATATAACATCATTTCAAATTCTCTTCCAGTTGGTAGCTCTTTTTGCCTCTACACACAATTTCCTGGAGACATTGACTATTGTCATAGTTTTAGCTATGCTCTTTACCCAGTATTTATATTTGTATTATACTTTTGAATTTATATTACGGGGGGGGGCAGAGCCAAGATGGCGGAGTGAAAGCAGTGACTTGCTTAAGCTCTCCCCAAAACCCCTCCAAATACTCATAAAAAATGGCTCTAAACAAATTCTGAAGCAGCAGAACCCACAAAAAGATAGAGTGAAACAAATTTCCAGTCCAAGACAATCTGGATGATTGATCACAAAGGTGTATCGTGCTGGGCTGGAAGCGCAGCGCAGCACAGCATGGGTGCACAGACCTCAGTGAACCTGAAGCAGGCCTCAGAGGACTGAATCTCTGGCAGCTGTGGAGGTTTCCAGACTTCTCAACCCACTAATGCCAAAGACAACTTAGAAGGTCAGTGGGAAAAGTCTGTTTCTGTCGGTGCTCAGAGAGGAAGGCGGGGTTTCAGCTCCATTCCCGAAGAATGTGGTCTGGGGGGAGGGGGGAAGTGGTGGGCAGTGCTTCCCAAGCTTCCGCCCACAGACTGAGGGGGAATCCAGTGGCTGATCAGAGAGGGATTGCAGGGATCTTTTTTGCTAGTGCTGAGGCAGGAATCTTTTGCTTTGCCCGTGTTTGGATCTGGGTCACAGTTCTGGGCGGTGGTGCTGGGGTGAGGAGGAGTGCTGGCTTGGTGGAGCTTGGAGTGGTTGTGGAGAAGAGCCCCTCCTCACAGTTACAGGACAGAAAGGAATACTTGTGGTCACAGGCCAGGAAAGGAGTAAACACCTCGCCCCTCATCATACCACCTTGTGAGAACTGAAAATTTACAGGTCCCTGCAAGTATCTCTAAAAACAGCTGTACAAATCCCTGAAGCTTGGGACAGTACATTCTCCACATTGGAAGCAGACTCTTACCTTAACAAAGAGTTTAAAACTCAAGTAATTGGCCAGGATCATGAGCAAGCAGCTCAAAAAGAGTCAGACTATATTATCTTACTTTGGTGAAAAAGAAGATCAAAATACACAACAAGAAGAAGACAACAAAGTCAAAGCTCCTACATCCAAAGCCTCCAAGAAAAATATGAATCAGTCCCAGGCCTTGGAAGAGTTCAAAAGGAATTTTGAGAAGCAAGTAAGGGAAGGAGAGGAAAAACTGGGAAGAGAAATGAGAGTGATGCAAGAAAATCATGAAAAACAAGTCAACAGCTTGCCAAAGGAGACCCAAAAAAATACTGAAGAAAATAACACCTTAAAAAATAGCCTAACCCAAACAGCAAAAGAGGTCCAAAAAGCCAATGAGGAGAAAAATGCCCTAAAAAGAAAAATTGGCCAAATGGAAAAGGAAGTCCAAAAGCTTACTGAAGAAAATACTTCCTTAAAAATTAGAATAGAGCAATTGGAAGCTAGTGACTTTATGAGAAATCAAGACACTGTAAAACAAATCCAAAAGAATGAAAAATTAGAAAACAATGTGAAATATCTCATTGGAAAAACAACTGACCTGGAAAATAGATCCAGGAGAGAGAATTTAAAAATTATTGGACTATCTGAAAGCCATGATCAAAAAAAGAGCCTAGACATCATCTTTCAAGAAATTATCAAGGAAAACTGCCCTGATATAGTAGAACCAGAGGGCAAAATAGAAATTGAAAGAATCCACGATCTCCTCCTGAAAAGAATCCCCAAAGGAAAACTCCTAGGAATATTGTAGCCAAATTCCAGAGTTCCCAGGTCAAGGAGAAAATATTACAAGCTGCCAGAAGGAAACAATTCAAGTACTGTGGAAACACAATCAGGATAACACAAGATTTAGCAGCTTCTACATTAAAGGACCGCAGGGCATGGAATATAATATTCCAGAGGGCAAAGGAGATAGGATTACAACCAAGAATCACCTACCCAGCAAAACTGAGTATAATCCTTCAGGGGAAAAAATGGTCATTCAGTGAAATAGAGGACTTTCAAGCATTCTTGATGAAAAGACCAGAGCTGAATAGAAAATTTGACTTTCAAATACAGGACTCCAGTGGAACATGAAGAGGTAAACAGGAAAGAGAAATCATAAGAGACTTATTAAGATTGAACTGTTTACATTCCTGCATGGAAAGATGATATTTATAACTCATGAGACCTTTGTCAGTATTAGGGTAGTTGGAGGAAAAAAATTATATGTATGTAGATAGATAGATAGATAGATAGATAGATAGATAGATAGATAGATAGATAGATAGATAGATGGCACAGGGTGAGTTGAAGATTAAGGGGTCATATCTGGAGAATAAAATTAAGGGATGAGGGAGGATTATACTCGGAGAAGAAGAAAGGGAGAGGTAGAATGGGGTAAATTATCTCACAAAGAAAAAACAGAAAAGAAAAGGCTCTTACAGTGGAATGGAAGTAGGGCAAGGTGAGAGGGAATGAGTAAATCTTATCCTCATAGGATTTGGCTTAAGGAGGGAATAACATACACATTCAATTAGGTATGGAAGTTTGTCTTACCCTACAAGAAAATAAGGGGAGAAGGGGACAAGACAGCAGGGGGATGATAGAGAGGAGGGAAGATTGGAAAAGGGTGTAATGAGAAGTAAATACTTCTGAGGAGGAACAGGGTCAAAAGAAGGAATAGAATAAATGGGGGGGGCAGAACAGGATTAAGAGAAATAGAGTTAGTTTTTCCACAACATGTCTGCTACAGAAGTGTTTTACATAAGGGCACATGTACAACCTATATTGAGTTGCTTGCCTTTTCAATGAGGGTGGGTGGGGAGGGAGGAAGAGAGAAAATTTGAAACCTAAAGTTTTAAAAACATATGTTTAAAAAAAAAGTTTTCACATGCTACTGGGAAATAAGAAATATAGGAAATGGGGTACAGAAGTCTATCCTGCCCTGCAGGAAAATGAAGGGGAAGGGGATAAGAGAAGGAGAGAGAGATAGAAGAGAGGACAGACTAGGGGAAGGGATATTCAGAATGCATGCCATCTTGGGGTGGGGGGAGGGTGAGACGGGTTGAAAATCTGGAACTCAAAAACTTGTGGAAATGAATGTTGAAAACTACAAATAAATAAATTTATATTAAAAAAAAAAAGAATTTATATTACTGGTTTTGGTCTCTTATCCCAGTCATACATTTTCAAATACCCATAATTCATCTGCACCTGAAACTTGATGCTAAATTAATTCTCTCTGAAATAGTACGTTTTCCCAATTACTACTGATGGCACCCTCATCAAACATAAATTGTCAAATCTTTAATTATTAATTTATTTTTCCTGCCACCATTAATACTTGATACCATGGCCTATTAGTCAACAATTATGATTCAACCTCCACTATGTCTCTAATTTGATCATTCTTCCATTTGAACAGAGACCATTCTAGACCAGGTTAACACTTTCACTATATTTTATTTTAGAGACTGGATCTCCTTTATCTCATCTAGGGTGACAATGAACATGACAGGTAAAAAAAAAGCCTTGTAATCTAGTTGAGGATATTAGACATACATGAACAGCTAGAAAGCAAAAAACATGTAAGTAATCATGGCAACACAAAACTTTTTTTTGGGTTATGGATCCCTTTGTGAATCTGGTAAACCCTGTGGACCTCTTCTTAGAATAATGTTTTCCATACATAAGTAAAACACACAGGCTTAATAGCTAGCATTTATATGCTTTAAGGTTTGCAAAATACTTTACATATGGTTATCTCATTTGGTCTTTGCAACAACCCTATAAGGTAGATGCTATTATTATCCCTATTTTACACATGATGGAACTGAGGCTGAGAGAAATCACATAACTAGTCATTCTATGAGGCAAGATTTAAACTCAGGTCTATCTACCTACTATAAAGGAATGACTGTGGATAAAACTAATTATACTTAGCAAAATATTTTTTTAAAAACAAGTTCATGGAGCCCAGGCCAAGAACTTCTTTGTTTCAGAAAGGGGAAAGCCTAAACATCCCATATTGGTCTGAATATAATTGACTCCACACATAAAATGAGATTTCTTTGAAAGGAAAAAGATGAACATTGAAAAATAATTATATAAAACTACCGTATTAAAAATATTTCCATGAAGACTTTTATGCATTTCTTTCAATTCAAATAAAAATGTTTTACTGATGTTTATCATCATCTATCTCTGTGTCATGTTCACTGTCATTCTCTTTATTTCAATCTTTTTATATGTCATCTTCACTGCTGCTGCTACTACTACTACTACTACTACTAACTACTACTACTACTACTACTACTACTACTACTACTACTACTACTACTATTAAAGGTCATACTCAGGTTTTATGAAAGTCACACTTTAGTGTCCCAAAAGTCTTAGAGCACTTTTAAGCTTTCATGGCTTGGAATTTTGGGACACTGTATAGTAAGCTACTATTCTTGAATCTACTATAGCACCTATACACATAGCAGATTCTCAAAAAAATGCTTGCTGAATAAATAGCATCTCAACTGATAATATTAACACTTATGCAATACAGATTACCTGATGATCTGTAGATGGACGTGGCTGGACGGTATCATGGCTTACAGAGCCCTTTTTGACTTGTACCCTACCAGGTGGTGGAGGAATTACACCTGAATAGGAACCCTGATTCTCAGTATCTGAAGAATATGAGGTTGTGTGCCGAGATTCTTGCTCACTCTTTGAAGCTCCAAATCTGGGCAGGGGGAGATCCTTTACTGTTAAAGACATAATTGTTAATGGTAATTTTTTAATCAGCTTAAAATTAATAGAATAAGAAGTAATTCCACAAGACATTATGAATTTAATAAGTACCTACAGCACGATTTGTGTTTGCTGAACTGAAAGAACTTAATACTGGAATAGAATTTTTAGGTAACTCTCTCTTAAATGGCTTAGGTAGGACCTTTTGGTGGTGTTGTTGTTTCAGTCACATCTGACTCTTTGTGACCCCATTTGGGGTTTTCTTGAAAAAGATACTGAAGTGGTTTGCCATTTCCTTCTCCACCTCCTTTTACGGAGGAGGAACTAAGGCAGAGTTAAGTGACTTGCCCAGGGTCACACAGCTAGTGTCTGAGGCCAGAGTTGAACTCAGGAAGATGAGTCTTCCTGACTCCAGGTCCTATATTCTATCCACTGTGTAACCCAACTACTTCGAGGTAGAGCCTTATTTAGAGATAATGGACTACACCACCAAAGTTATCTTCATTCTAATATACCAAGTTTCTAAGTAATGATTAATTTTTAAATTAAAAACACTGGCATTTCATTAAATAAATTTTCTCTATGATTACTTGATATCTATTAAGGACAAAGTACCAATGGTGAATTGTAATTAATACTATAGTGAGACATTAATTAATATTTAATTTATTTCCTGTTAACCAAATAGCATGCCCAGACTCTTTGATTCATCACAACCAAGTCCTGGGCTCAGCTCCCTCTTCCAATTTGGCTAGAAAGTGGAATAATAACTACTGTAGAGGGAAATAATAATTCACATAGGTATATACTTAAGGAATGAATTAAGGTAATAAGATCAAAATAGGTATCTTATGGAATCAACCTCACTACATGCCCCTTTTCGTGATATTTTTTCAAAATCTCATTTCATAAGGACCACTGAGACAAGTAAGATAATGGGTCCCAATGATAAACAGGAAAGATGGATAAAGAAACAGGTACTCAGACAGACACATACTCAGTATGGATGGGAAAAGGTGCAGATCAACACATGGTGAATTTTCAATTCCTGAGAATGAGAAAAGGCTATGTTAACCCACATGTAGGACAGACTGAAAAAAAGGATGGCAAATTTCTTTTTAAAAGATTGTAGTTTTATGATTATTTTGAAAATTAAAGCAACTAGTGGCACAGTACGAGCACTAGACTTGGAAAGAGGAAAGCCTGAGTTCAAATTCTGCATAGTACACTTACTAGTTGTATGACTGTGAGCAGGTCACTTAACCACTTTGTGCCTCAGCTCCCTCATCTGTAAAATGGGGATAACAATAGTACCTACCTCCTAGCATTATTGTGAGGATAAAATGAGATATTTGTAAATGCTCTGTAAACTTTAATAAAGGCTAGCTATTACTATAATAAGGGCAGCTAAGAGGTGCAGTGGATAAAGTGCTGGACTTGGGAAAAACCTGAGTTGAAATCCAACCTGAGAAACTTCCTAACTATGTGACCTTGGGCAAGTCACTTAAGTTGTTTGCCTAAGATCCGTAATCCACTGAAGAAGGAAATGTCAACTCACTCCACTATTTTCACTTTGTGACCACAGGGTCACAAAGAATGGGACACAACTGAACGACAATCATCATATTATTATTTAAATGGTATTTTATTATGAAATGCAAAATGGATAATTTTGATTACACTAAATTAAAAAGGTTTTGCACAAAGCAATGCAACCAAGATTAGAAGGGAAGCAGAAAGCTGGGAAACTATTTTTATAGCTAGTATCTCTGATAAAGGCCTCATTTTTAAAATACATGTAGAACTAAGTCAAATTTATAAGAATATAAGTCATTCCCCAACTGATAAATAGTCAAAGGATATAAACAGGCAGTTTTCAGATGAAGAAATTAAAGCTATCTAGAGACATATGAAAAAATGATCTAAATCACTACTGATTAGAGAAATGGAAATTAAAACAATTCTGAGGTACCATATCACAGCCATCAGATTGGCTAACGTGACATTTTGGGGAGAGGGGAAAATTTAGAACTCAAAATCTTATAGAAGTGAATGCTGAAAACTAAAAATGAATATTTTTTTAAAAGAGTAGGATATCAAAATTTGAAAATGTAAGAAAAAGGCATTCTAGTTATAAGAAATAATAAGCAAAGACAGAGTGTCAAAAATGGACAAGATAGTACATACTCTAGTTTGGCTAAGGTATAGAGTACTTAGGAAATTTTTTTTTGTATTTCTGATACTACCAAAATGGTAGGCATGAGACAAACAACAAACATTTATTGATTTTTTAAAAATAAACTGGAGTTCTTCTAGAAATCATGAAGGACAGTTATTTTCAGGCTGATTTTTAAAAACATCTAATCTTGCTTCCAATATTTTTGTTAATCCCTTTTAAAACTGAAAAAAAAAAAGGGCTGAAAACATCTACCTGGAGCAAACACGGAGCTAGAAAATTTGTTCACATTTAAAGATTCTGAGGTATAGAACTGGCTGGAAGGCTGGGCATACATACTATAATTCTGCTTCCAATAAGCCATCATATTTGCCTTACACAGAATAAAAGAATCTCTGAGATGGAAAGGACCTCAGTTGGAATCTAGTCCAACCACCCTTAATCAAGAATATCCTCCACTGCATACCTGACAAGTGATCATCCAGCCTTTAATTGAAACTCCAATGAAAGGTAACCTACTTCGTCCTAAGGAAACCCATTCCATCTTTGGTTAGCTCTAATTGTTAGGAAATGTCATTATGTTCTAATTCCCCAAAGGATCATTATCTCACTGACCTGCTTGTTAAAGCCAACATCCAAGTTGCAACCTATCCAATATTGCTCATCTTGTGTGATGCTTCAACAATTATGCTTCTTCCCATTAAGTTTACCACAGGGGGTCCACCCAACACATGGGAGCCTTCTTTATCTTCTCTTGAAATAATGAGGATCCCAAAGTAGCATGAAGACTGTCTACTGGTCATCCCTTGCTCTTGATACATGATTTCTTTGTTTGTTTGTTTTTTTGGGGGGGCTTACTTTATCACTGCATCCTCATACCACGTATTTGTCTCTTTCAAATGAGATAATAATTGTAAAGCATTTAACACAATATCTGGCACACAGCAAGCACTATATAAATGTCAGCTATTATTACGATTGTCCTATGAGTTACCATAAAGTTCAATTCTTTGGAGACTCTAGTGTTCTATGACTTAGAGTCATATAATATCAGAAAAGAACAAAAGTCAAAAGTTAGGCTTTTGTTTCAAAAAGAAGCTTGCAGTCATTCAAAAAACAATGCAATTTCCCAAAGGCAATTCAGGTATTATCCAGTTAAAGTATTTGTTCAAGACATAAACTTTTAGTTTGTCCATTCAATTGCATTATCATAATCTGGCCAAAAGGCACTCTTAATTCACTTAGTTTTTCCTAAGTGGATTGGGCCAAACTCTTTTAAAAGACTTTGGATCTCATTTAGGAAGCTGTGCAATATACTAGAGCTTTCTGCAATATGTCATTCATAGAAAAAAAGAGGATGTGAAAAACCTCACCATTATAGGGAATTCCTCTTCAACAAGGACTCTGTGTTAGATCAAGTTAATCAAGGGTATATTTTCTTCTTTGCAACTTTTATTCCACGTCCCTAGTTTTGCTCATAGAGACAAGCAGAAAAAGTCTAATATCTTTTCTACACTATTACCCTTCAAATCTTCATGTGGCATTTCTAGTTCCTCATCATTCAGATCCTTAACCCAGGGTTAAAGTTTAAATTGATTTCAACATTCTGATATATATACTCAAAATCATGCATCGAATCCTTCATATAATCCAGAATGAAATGTCAGCCTGCATGGACAAATAATTTCATTCATAATCTGGCCCAGAACTACTTAAAAATTCCCACCAAACAAAAAGAACATAAGACATTTTCTTCTTAAATGATCCCCTTGAAAATTTAACCATTAAGTACAACTCAAAAGTGTATGTGTCCCAATTCTGTGACTCCAAAGCTACTGACTACATCAGCAAGTTCTGTGGCTCATCTTACCCACCATCTTACCCATTTAAAAAAGTTCTAATTTTGAATTTGCAAAACAACTTTTGAATAAAATTTAAACATAATTTCTACCTTCTTTCCCTGGTTTAACCACAATTAACTATGACTTTAACCTGCCATTATAGTTGATCAAGTTGCAGTCCAAAACAGTACAGAAGAACCTTAAAGGTCTGATTTGTACAAAAAAGGAAAGACTGAGAACACAAAAAACCAGAATGCTATCTAACTCATTTACCTGGAAAGACATACAAATATGTATACAAACAAAAAACACTCCCTTCATTACTGATTATATATTCAATATAATTATTCACATAAGAGATTAAGTGAAGAGATTGGATTGAGTCCAATTTTCAGTGATGCAAATCTAGAATATCTTAATTTTCTAGTTTTAAACATCTGTGAATATGACTAAGGTGGAAAGAAATCTTCTTTCCCTGTATCCACAAACAGAACTGTACAAATATGGCATATCACACAGGACCACTAATCATTAAAAATTATCCAACATGACCAGCACCACACTACAAAAATAAGCAAGATTTAAGATTTCTCTATTAAATGTCCATTAATTTCAGTTTTCAATAATAAATTCCCTATTTACCCGTATTTATGCTTTCCACTCTTAATGGGAGACCAGACTGGGCCACAGCTACAAGTTTTAAAGCAATGTAAAATTGACTTCTTCCAAAATAACCAAGTCTTGTTGCACCACAAAGTTCCATAATCTGCAAAAGAACAAAAGTTAATGTAAGGATGTATGCCAAAAAATACTTTGCTTGAAGATAATAACTCATTTTACTAATTTCTTCAAAACAGAATGTATTGTATTGATACTACTTTTGTTTTTTTTTAATTGATTTTCAACTTGATATATTTTCAGTTTTGCAGATTTGAAAATAGAACTGTAAGAAAGACTTTGATAATCATTTTTAAAAATTCCTTTGATCCTCTTGTACATCTAAATCTAAAGTCTACCTTCTTTCATAATTTCATTGTGTTCCAAATTTCCCCCATAGATTTCATTAAGACAACAATGAAACTCTTATCTGCTGCCTTTCTGAATGACTAATTTAATAGAATGACAATAGTAACCAGGATGGTAGATTCAGAAGGCATTTGGCATAGGGGGACAGATTAAGATAAAATGAAACTTTCTAAAACTGAAGAGGGACTATAACTCATCCTTTGAAGCTAGGGTAAAAAGATGGGCCAGGTAAAGATGCAAAGGAGTTTTAAGACATAGAGAAAGGGAAGGTGGGGCATGGAGTAGAGCAGGGGAACTTCAAAGAAAAGAAAAGGTTTGGAACAAATGCTATGGGGAATCTCGTAAACTGACTACTAGAGATAAATAAAAGAATTGCTGTGTAGCAATAAAGGCCCAAAGGAACTTGGTAAGAATTTGTAGCGGATTCAGTTAGCAGAATTTTATGACTTCCTCTAGCAGAGTTCATCAGCTCTGAAACAGGAGTGGTAAAGGTGGATGATGGAGAGGGCTAGAGGACAAGCTTGAACACTAGCAAGGCATGAACAACGCAAGGGTAAGGGGATAAGAAATTAAGGGGTGGCAGAAAAGACTTTTTTTTTAACTGTTTAACTCTACAGTTTCAACTGAAGAGAGGAAAAGTAAAATTAGAATGCCCGGGGTGGAACCAGAAATTATATGGGACCAGAAGTCATAGCAGGGTTTCGGAGAATAGAAGAGAGATAGAAAGACAACAGAATGATCAGAAGATAATTTTAGATTTCAAGACACTGGAGGTGGAAGAGTTTGGGATAATAGTGAGATCTAAGATGCAACCATTCTTGTGAATAGCTATGTGGGGGAAAATGAATTTTAAAAATCTATCAATAGATATTATATAGCATTTCAAGTGAATAATTATGTTGAAGCAAATAATTTATGATCAATCATTAATGTATACAAAATGATCCAAAGAAAAGAGCATTAATAAAAAAATTTTTTAAATATATACAAAACTTCCTGCCAAGATGGTTGCCTGAAAAAAAACTCAGAATTCTGCACGTAGTAGGTACTTAATAAATGCTTGCTGACTGACTAAAGTTTGCATCAGACCAAATAATGATCTAGAAAGCCAATGAGAAACTATAGTAAGTGACTTTTTCTATGCTAAAAACTGCACACACAAAAATCAATCAAAAGCCCATGCGCAACAAATAGGAAAACGAACTCTCACATAAAATAAGTGCCAGCACAACTAGAAACAGGACACGTGCAGCCTGGGTGGTTGTATGCCCAGAATAAGTAAAAGAAGAAATCTCACCTAAAAAAGTCTCATGGTAGGGACCTTGGAAGCCTAGGCGAATAACAAAGGATAGAGAGAGATGCTACAGTATTTAGAGTAGGAAACCCAAAACCAAAGGTTCTGAAGTCCCTCACACTCAAGGCCCTAAAGACCCAGGACTCTGAATTTTGAGATCCAGGGATAGTCTAGCCTATCCCCAAGGGACCCAAGGCAAACTCAAGCAGAGCAAATCATCTCACCCAATAGGAAGGTGGAAGGAGGGTTCTGGCCCTGGCTCAAAGCCAATTTAAGAACTAACGCTGGAGAAATGAATAAATCAAAGAAAACGCCAACTAACATGAAAAGAAAATTATTGCAAATCTACCTTCCTAATAAATCCAGAGAATCAAAGGCAAAAAAAAAAAAAGATTTTCCAAAATGACTATAATACCCAGAAGAAACAAAGCAAGGAATTTTTAAAAAAAATGATATAAAGGCTCTGGAGAAGAGAAATGAAAGAATAATTAAGTAGCTTAGAAAAGAAAGTAGTAAATCTTACTCACAAAACAGAATCCCTGAATGGTAGAACAGACTAAACTGTAATCAATAATTCTTGTATTATCAAGAAATATTAGGACAAAGTCAAAAGATTTAAAAAACAGAAGTAAATATAAGCTCTCTTGATATCAGCAATGGACCTGGAAAACAGACTAAGGAGAGATAATTTTAAAATTTTTAGACTTTCTGAAAATCACGATTTAAAAAAAGTCACAGGGGCAGTGACACGCCACAGTGGATAGAGCACTGGCCTTGGAGTCAAGGAGGACGTGAATTCATATCCAGTCTCAGACACTTGATACTCACTAGCTGTGTGACTCTGGGCAAGTCACTTTTGCCTCACCAAAAACCAAAACAACAACAACAAAAAACACCCAAACAAAAAATTAAGAAAGCCACAGCACTATCTTTTAAGAATGTGTGTGTGTGTGTGTGTGTGTGTGTGTGTGTGTATGAAATCATAAATGAAAACTTCCCAAACCTGTTAGAACCAAAAGGTTCAAAAGATAGAAAGAGCCCAATGAACACCTCCTGAAAGGAACTTCAAAAGGAAAAGCCCCACTAACATCACAGCCAAAATCCAGAGCTTCCAGGTCAAAGAAAAAATACAGAAATGAGACAAAATGAAGCCGTTTAAATGCCAAAGAACTAGCTGAGATCACACAAGAGCTGCAGGTTTTTACAAAAAAAATTCAGAGAAGATCTCAGAATACAATATTCCAAAAGGCAGAAAGTAAGAAGGCTTGCAACCAAAAACATCTTACCCTGAAAATCGAGGATGATCCTCAGGAGGGGAAATGGATTTTTAACAGAATGAAAGACTTTCAAACATTCTTGATGAAAAGACCAGAAGTGAAAAAAAACTCTGAAACCCAAATTCAAGAATCCAAAGAACCAAGAAAGGTAGCTTTATTTGAGCAACTAGAAGGATCTGTATGATGATGTCTAGTGCTAACATTCCAACACGAGGAAGAAGAAACAAGTGTCCTTTCAGAACGCTTACATCTTCAAAAGGTGTGGAGGAGTTAAATAAGAAAAAGAGAGGCCCTTAGGGAATGAACAGTCATAGATGAAACAAATTTCCTGATCTTGAAGAGTGGATTAAAGGGAAGGGAGAGGGAGAGTACCTTAAATTGTCTCTTAGACAACCGGGAAATAGCTGAAAAAAGTACAGTATGTAAATGCAGTAGAATAGTAATAGGCTATCAGAATTACAGAAAAATGACAATTTCAGAGAATCCTGGATGTTATGAACTGAGTGACGAATAAACTGAACAAATCTAGGAGAACAACATATCTAAGGAAAGCGAACAAGTAAAGAAAAACAACTTTGAAACACTTAAGTCTGATCAAAGCAATGACCAGCTATATCTCCAGAGGACCTATGATAAAGTATATTCTCTACTTAGAGAGATGAAGGACATAAAGTACAGAGACACATTTTTTGGATGTGGCCACTGTGGGGACTTTGCTTAACTATGTTTATTTATTACCAGGAGTTTTTCTCTCCTTTCTTTCTCTAAGTTGGACAAAAGAGGTGGGTCAGGGGTTTAGCAAAAATGATACCCCAAGAAAGAAGACCATTAAAACTATTTTTTAACTGTACAGAAGAAAACGTAAGTTCAAAAAGAAGTACCAATAAATAGGATAATTTTTTAAAACAGAATAATTTTGAAAGTAACAGTAGAAGTAATCATATACTTTTTTTTTTAGGCAATTGGGGTTAAGTGACTTGCCCAGGGTCACACAGCTAGTAAGTATCAAGTGTTTGCTCTGAGGTGAAATTTGAACTCGGATACTCCTGACCTCAGGGCTGGTGCTCTATCCACTGCGCCACCTAGGTGCCCCAACCATATACTTTTAAAAAAAGTAGTATGAACTAAAATTCACATTTCATGTTGAATCCTCTTATGTTCTGCTATATGTATAGAAATGTTATTTTTAGTATTTAGGTTCAGAATTTTAAAAACAATTTAAATATGCAGAAGAAGACACTAAAAAGCAGGGCTGTGATAGTACTACCATGTTAAATAATAATACTACAATAAAAATAACTAGCTTTAATATTTTTAAAACATAAATTATGTCATTCTATCCCCACAACCCTGGGTGATATATGTTATCCCAGATGAGGAAACTGAGACTGAGAGAAGCTGAGTGACTTGCCCAGGATCACATAGCTATTAAGACATTATATAATATTACGTATTTTATCTGAGTGAGAGTGGATCTGAACTCAGATCCTCTTGAATACAGGTTTAGCACTCTATTCAATATACCACCTAACTTTTTTCTAATAGGTTGTAAATAATAGAGATTCATAAAGTCACATGCAATCCTCTTTTTTTTAGTTGTTCTTTATATAATGAAGTCCATATTTGTTGCTTATTTGCTAAATTCATAACAAAAATCAAAAAATAAAACAAATTAAGATAAAGGCATGCAGAAAAGCATCTTTCTTTCCAAACAAACAAGTACAATACAGAGATCATGGCAATCGAGGAGACTGATAAACTGGGAGGCCAGGGTGTTCCAAAGTACATCAAGGTATATATCAAAATCACCAAGGATGGGCAGAGATTGTAGTGGAGGGGAAGACTGTAAGAAAGTTATGAACTAAGTTAAGAGAAAAAGAAAGTGACTTGGAGTTTTAACAGAATCAGTAACAAGGACTTGGTCGAAGTGAAATAACAGGATAGTGTATTCTTCAAAGAAGAAGAGGTTACTGAGTGATAGAGAGCGGCAGAGCAAAGTTCTGTAAGTTAGAGTGGTGATGATCCAGAAGCATGCCGATTCCTCTCCCAGGCCTATGTGTTCAGGAACAAAAAGACAGAAAGTAGCCATGATTGGAAAGCATGTTAAGTAATGAGGTTTCTTTAGAATACCACATTTCTATGAACACCAAAAGAAGGAGGGAGTTTAGG